GCTTAAATATCTACTTGTGTACATCCAAAGTTGAAGGGCATAAATGTAATTCAAAGTCATGTTAAAGGGCATATTTATGTATTATGATCATGTTAGGCAAGATACGTTTTGAAAAAAAAAATGAGGATTCTAGCAGTATCTTAACACAATCCATTTTCAATTATCAAATATTTTTGTTGCATGGATAGTGTTTAAATAGGGTTCAAGCCAATTTAAATCAATAGTTCTAATCCAATAACTTAAAAAAATTAGAATCTCAAGGCTTCATTTGTGAACTCTTTCTTCGTTTTTATTATAGGTGGATGAAATATTCAAACATGTGTACAGCTGATATCTTCAGCAACCCATGGCAATCATTTCACTTGGACCAATATTGAAGTTTTGGTTTCTGATTTGACAACAACCGCATCAATTACCATAAGAGAGAACAGAAAACTATTCAGGGGAATAACAGAACAATAATGAATATATTTTCTTGGCCTGATATTTGAACATGAAATTTTCAGACTCAGCGGTGCGACATTCTGCACATCATGGATCTGTACCATATCCTTTTCTAGACGACGATGTATACATTTGCTCTCTGTGAACCTCTCTAAATAAAAGAATGTTTGTTTCTTACTCTGCAATATGAGTATATATGTATATAACACCTATTCCTTCCCTGCACCCCCTTATAAATGAACTAATCTGCGCTATGTAACCAAGGTTGTCTATGGCTTTGTATAGCTGAGTTTCTGGGTTCCAATTACCCTTTGAAGATCAGCATTATGACTAGCAACATTGGATCTCTGCGTCAAATCATGTGGTGGCATGTAGTATCACAGGGATATGCACAATCAATCTCCTTGCTGATGTTTCTACTGAAGTACCAATCACCGACTGTCTCCGCAATTGTCTGAAGACAAGAAGTTTCAGAATCAGTAGCCACAAATCAAAAAGAAATCTCCTTTGTGCTTGATGGGTCTTATCAGTTGCATCAGATTGTATAATGACTTGTACATAACTTGTAAAATTCGGGCAAAACGACAGAAGTTTTCCTTAATGCAGGGAATCATTACCTACTTACTTTTATATTACAATATTTTGAGAAACAATATGATTTTAACTCTTGCATAGTAATAAACACGTAACATTGTTGAAGAAACTAAAAGGAACAAGATCACTTCACACACTATTAAGATTTTCATGTTTGTCATTCCAGCGTTAAGTTTGCATTTACAGTGAATAATACATCGCAGCAGAAGATCAGAAAAATGAATTTCACCAACCTTGTTGTGTATTCGAGGAGAGCCAGCTGCAAACCAAGTATCTTGTGTCTCACTCTGACAATGAGTGAAGCAAGAGTTTATGTACATCCCATCTCTAGTTGAATTTTGATAGAAATCTCTCAACGCTGTAAGCATATCTATCCTGAACCCTGAAATAAGTCAGGTAACCCTGGTTACTGCCATCAATATTATAGAAATTACAAACTCTATAGAACAGTAAATATAAAGATAAACTAACAAATGTACCATGATAAGAGTAGCACAACATAGAATGTTATTTAAGATTGCTATAATCTAGTTACTGAATATTTGGATACTTCATGAGTTCAATTGACATTTCTTTCTATCAGACCCTTGCAAGTTTTTCCCAGCCTTAAACCTGTCTGCCTAAAGACCTATGTAAATGTTTGAAAGAGTAATATAATAAGCATTGTCAACCTTGCAAAATATTCAGTTGACTTGTATCACATGCTGTGACATTCAACTTGCAATGATCCCAATGCCGTCGAGGATCGGAAGAAGGCGGCACCAATATGTGATGGAACTGCAGAAGCATAAGGTCACACATTATTGGGACCGTGCATAACAAACATTACTCTAAAAACTGCCTAGTTTATATAAAATTACATAATGAACATACTTGGTACACGTCATATGCTGAATTTAAGATGAAGAATGGCGTTTCGATGAATGGTAATGCATACTGTGGGAAGAAGCACTGCAAGAACATCTCAAGAATTCTTAGAGAAGAGCTTAGTTTCATCACCAGATTATGAATTAAACAACAGGAGAGTGGCTCAGATCGTACCAGGTGTGGGTAGTAGAGAGTAGAAGTGCAATTTAGATTGAGATTTGGTTCCACCCCCTTCAGAAAATGACGTTTGTCAAAATAAGATAGCTTAAAATAGACATCCCTGATGGCTATGATGAAATCATACCTGTAGGGTAATAAGACCTTCATAGAAAGATCTCATTGTGTGATTCAAAGCTATATCTCTCCTGAGAAAACAAACGCAAACATGTCATTAAGTTTAATGCAAAGAGGAAATCACATTTGACTATTCAATTGGCAGAAACATACTCGTCTAAAAAAAACCCAGCATCACTCAAGCACTTCACACTGGCATTATTTGGTAGATAACTGGTGAAGTTGTCACAGTGTAAAAAGGTTGCCAGACCACCAGCAGAGCAGCCAGAAAGCATAGCCTAGAAGAAATACTCTAAGACCATTAAGTATAGTTTGAAGCACAAAATATCTTTGTAGTAAAGGAGTAAGACGATGAAGTTAAATGTTTGTATTACATGTATCTTTTTCAAGGAAAAATTGACGTAATCAACAATACAAATTATGAATATAAACCTACTGACAGATCTCAACCAGATGTGTACAACAATGCACTGTTAGATATTTGTTTACTTTTACCCAAAAAAAATGACAATTCAATCCAGAAAGGCAAGATCACTTAATTACCCTCTTTATGTCCTCATAGGAGACTCATATTTGTGTGTTAGGTGGGACAGAGAGTGGGGATGTGTGGGTGATGGAAGCAATTGCTGTTTTATCTCATTGCTTTGACATCACAAGTAGTCCTAAGCCTTGACGGTTATCATCAGATGTTGTTAAAGTAGAAAAGGAGTATGTCTAATGGCATTACCTTCTTTGCGTGCCCCAGACCTTTTGGGAGAAGATCAAGAATAATAGCTTGCCAAATTCTTTGCCCTCTGAAATAAAGCAATGATGTCTGTTTCATTTTAAGCAAGAAAAAGACTCAGTTAAAAGTAAGAACAGAGTGCAATTCAGATAGAATACACCTTCATCAAGCCATGAGTCTTTTAACTAGCCCAAAGGCAAAGAAATTGGTTTGAGACGTATAATATGTATGCCATCAGAAAATATATCAGAAATTTCATACTTAATTATATTTATTTTGAAAGCAAGTAAAAATAAAGAAATTCGGAGTAATGCAAATGGCAATCATATGATAGAATCCAAGGTACATAAGGTCATATAATTGGAAGGAAGAAAAAGCGTTAAGATAACAAACAAAATGAAAAGTATATTTCGTAACAACATTGATCCAAGTCAGACCATGTTTTTCGAGCTCTATACTTCCGAAGTAGTGTCAATTTCATTCTAAAGCAAATGAATATCACTCTGCAAATTATGAATTTTTTCTATTTTTATCTGTTGACTTCCATAACGTTCCACAAAAATGTTTTTGAAGTATGAGTTCAGAGAAATACGTGGGAACTTATAAACAATGCCCTCTCTGCATCACTAACTGAAGTGAATCTTAGGCTTGCAGTTCATTTGCAAAAAACACATGAATAGTTTGCCACCGATATTCATGTAAAACAATATCTCGTTACCCCAATTTCGTGTCTATCCTTTCTTAAAGACATAAAATCCTTTTCTTTTTCAAAAAATAAAAAATAAAAAAATAACCACACCTAGCTCAAGTAATTAGAAACGAAACGTTTACATACACCCATAGTTTGGCTAACAAAAACAAGAATAAAACAGAAGTAAAGCATAAACATTTGCTAATTTGGCAACAGGAAAAAGAAAGCACTTGATTAAGCTGAATTGTCACTGATAATACTCTGGATAGGCAACTCTCAAATACTAATAGATTAATCGTGGAAATAATGGCAAGCTACTAGAACATGAAATTGATATTTTTCACATAATAACCAAACAATGATTTGTCTATCAAAAACAACTGTCTACCCCACAAAGTGCGGTGAAATTGCACGTTCTGCACTCCCCAAATCCTAAATCCTACTTGTAGGATAACACTGGTACGTTGTTGTTATATAACCAAACATGGATGATGATTGGAAAAACTAAATTAGCTAACAGGGTCTAGTGGACATGAATAGCAAAAAAATTCATAATGTTCTAAAAAATAAAGTGCAAGAAACCGATGTGCGTGCAAGTTGTACAGAGTTTTACGTTACCCCATTATAGAACTTAGCATCACCAGAAAATGAGGCTCCATCACAATATCTGATCTTCACCCTATTCCAGTTATAAAAATCTGCATTTATTGTTGGATTGGATTTCTCCCATCAGTCATTTGCAGATTCCATTCTTACAGTTCTTCACATGATTTAAAAAATTGAATATTTTTTAAAATCCTTGTTCTCTCAATCTTCGTTGCAAGGGAAATGGAAAATTTAAAAATATCATTCTCGAGATTCAAAAGGGATTATAATAGTAACAAAATAGTTCCATCAAATTCATTCAATCACACTGAGTACAAAATCAAACTGTGTAACTTCTTTTTCAATTATGATTTGTCTCGAGTACTATTCTTTATCATTCTTCTTCTGTATTAATAATTTTTTTAAAGAGCTTACATAGAGAATCGAAAAAGTTACTGGCAACGAATTTGGTATAGGTACAAGCGCAAGAAGAAAAGCAGAAAAAATAGTACGACTCTTAAATGGCCACTGGGGGACCAATTGTACTAGGCTTTCGATGGAAATGCAAGACAAAGGCCCAAAACTGTACAAATCATGTAGCATCAGAAATCACAATTTCCACTTAGATTTAGTTGTTTTAAAATATCTAAAAAATACATAAAAACGAATATAATTTTATTTGAATCTGAAGTATAATAAAAAGTCAGATTCAACTTTATCGATATAAATACATAAATATCAAATATGACCAAGTTAATCTGAACATTAATAATATCAATATTTAAAAAAAAATACATAAATCATAGTATTAATTAGAAAAACTAGCCCATAGGCTTTGTTGTTAGTTGTTACTATCCTCCAAATTCCAACTGGCTGTCGGTGCACCCACTAGCCTATACTTATTCATGTTTTAGCATATACATAATTGACATCTCTTCCCGCTATTTTTTCTATAAAAACGAATACTCTTCACTAATGAAACTCAAACGGAGTATAGGATAATTACTATTCATAACTTTGGACTTCAAAAATATTGATCACGTGGAAAGAGACAACATCAAACGTGAGGGAACATGGATTTTGTCACACTAGCATACTACATTGACAGCATTGTACATGTACTCCTTGACTTACCACATTGCCATTTCACATGCTTCTAGTAAATTTGTTCTCTTTCCCCTTTTTTTCCTTTAATATAATGCTAAAAACAGTACGTCATTTTCTAATATAGTGATCATATGAGATATTAACTGATTAATTTTATTATGGAGATCGAGTTAAAGAATAGGTTTGTGAATTACCAGGATTAAAAGAGGCATTATTGCTGAGGATGCCAGAGAATACTTCCCATTTGTTCATATAACGAGTTGATCCATGATTTGATTTGGATCTATCCAAGCATGATTTGATATCATTGCACCACCCACCACCCTATTAATGTATTCAATAAGAAATTAATTAAGACTTTGTCCGCCCACGATACTTCTTGGACTAAATTAGCCCAAGATAATGCATCTTTGATTTTGCCTCAAAACAAACACACAAATACCAATTATAGTAATCATAATACTTTTAAGTTCTAAATACGATACTTCCTTAATTTGCATGAAACTTTATAACCAGCCTATATCAACTTTCTTGTTTTAATTCAAATAAAAATTACTTTCTTAAATTTCGTATCAAATCTAACTAAAAAGAAGAAAATTAAAACGAGGGAACAATATTGTTGTCTGTTCTGAGAATTTGAGCGGTATTATAATAGCTAGAAATTTGTATTGGGATACTGGCAATGGTGATAGACGTGTCTATTTCAACACAGTTCATAGGAAATATCGTGGTCCTAGTAAAAGTCTACTAAGTACTTATGACACTATATAACAATTAAATAAAAGAAAAACAATCCTTCTAACTTTCAATTTGATTGTACGTCTACTTTTTAATCTTATGAACTTCGTATCAAATTAAACGAACAAATATTATAACCGAGAGAGTATTAGGTAATATGACAAAATTGACTTTCTTTTGTGGTCCATACTCAAGTTGTCATGTACAGTAAAAGAATGGGCATCATGTATTTAAGCCGCCCTTTTGTAAACTGATTGAACGGATAAGCTTCTAATCTATATAACTACATACTCCGTAACAATTATTGAGAAAGTGAAATTGGAAAAATTGAAAGAGATAATAGGGTCCCTTTTTTATGAATGGACAAATATGTTTACTTTTGGACACACCATATCCTTTTGTTCTTTTCAGGTTTGATAATTCATAAGTAGTAGTATAATCCTCCCACGCCTACACTTTTTCCATATTTTGAACTGGAACGCAACCCTTTTAAAAGAAGAAATATCGGATACGATCAACATAAAAATTTTAATAATTTAATTAGTTGATCATCTGAGATTTTATATTATTACCGAAAGTCGGACTCAGAATAACATGTTGTATTAGTACATCATAAATGCTCTCTCACACATCCCCATTATTTCGAGACACCATACTTTGTTCCTCGACAAATACCAAATTTAGTACTTATAATAATTTTAAATTTTATAATATTAAATTAAAAATATGTTAAATATAATTTTAAATAATTAATAATTTAAAATTGTTAAAAAGGGAAACAAATCATAGAGAAAATTAAGTAACATGAAGTGAGATCAGCAGAATGAAAATAAAATAGGACGGATTTCAGTTTCTCAAGAAAAACAGCATTAAGGTCGTTCCTAACTTCCATGAAAAACAAGCGTCAAAACGTGTCTAAACCGAAACAATTATGATCTGTTTTTATTCAATAATAAATATATAGAGAGACCCTGTACTTTTTTATTTCTCACCAATAAGTTCGGGCATTTGTTGAATTTTACTTTATGAATTTCCAACTGTGACATCATATATTAGTAATGAAGTTTGAATTTATATACTTCCTCCGTGAGATAATATGACTTGGCATATAAGTTTTTTAGGAAAAAGACTTTTAAAATTTGTGATTCAAAATGAAATACATATATTTATATGGCTAAAAACTTATTTCATTAATAATAAAATAGATATTTTAAAGTTATTTAGGTGTGTTTGGTATGAAGGAAAATGTTTTCCTGAAAAACAAGTAGATTTTAGACTTATTTTCTCATGTTTGGTTGATGAGTATAAACTATTTTCCGAAAATAATTTTTAGTGTTTGATTTCTGAATGAAAAATGTTGTTGAATTTTGAGGAACATTTTTTATTTTTACTAGAATAAAAAATAATTTATGAAATTGAAAATATTTTTTAAAAACAATTTTTTTGGGGGGTGATGGTGATGGTGATGGGGGTAGGGGGTAGTAGGGGTGGGGGCAAGGGGAGGGAGGTTGGAGTGAAAAAATAAAAATTTGAAGTTGATAGTATTTTTAAAAAACAAAATTTATTTTTGGGGGGTTGGGGTTGGGGGGTCTGGTAGCGGTGGGTACGGGGGCTGGCAAGGGGGGAAGTAGGAGTTTAAAAACAAAAATTTGAAGTTGAAAATATTTTTAAAAAACAAATTAATTTTTTGGGGAGGGGGTGGGGTTGGGGGGAGGGTAGTCAGGGATCGGGTGAAAAATAAAAATTTGAAATTGAAAATATTTTTTTAAAAATTGATGTTTTTTCAAAAAAAAATGTAATTTGAAATTGGAGGAGAGCTTTGGAAAATGTATTCGGAAAGTTATTTTCATTAATTTTGAGGAAAATGAATTGATTTGAAAAACATTTTCCAAGACTTTTCCGTGAACTAAACATGAGAAAATTGGACAACATTTTCCTTCATACCAAACACACTCTTAATATAGAAATATGTCATTTGTTACGACTAACTAAAAAGAAAAGTAAATCACATAAATTACAACAGAGAGTGTATATATAATAACTTTCTCATCAATAATTATTATCCATCAAGGATATATAATCTCACAAATAGGATATACGGGGATATAGGCAGATTTTATAACTCACATTCATATTACTTATTATTTATTACTATTAATTTGGTATTTATTGAGGCTTCGATAATTCAAATTCGCGTAGAATAGAGCTCATTATCAAATATTTTTTTGCACACGCTCAAATCGAAAACTCCAATTAAAAAGAAATTGTATTAGCAATTTTGGATCATTCAAATATGTGTAAAATAAAACTCATTCGAATTTCTATCAAAAAAATAAATAAATTCATACACTCGAATCAAGAGCTCTAATTAGAAAGAAATTTTTTGGGATGAGAGAGAAGTAATTGTTTATCAGTGTAAAGAAAGGCTGCAAGCACGTTGATTGGCAAGTAGTGAGAAAAGCAAGCAAGCAAAGCAAAGCAAAGAAGTGTGTAACTACTCATTCAACAACTCTGTCAGAATTACTTGCCTCAAATTGCAAAAGCCAGTTGTCTACTCCAGCTCCAAAACCACGGTGCAGGTGATACGCCGGCAAACTTCCATCCAAGCAATCTGAAAAATCAATAAGCAAATATTTAACAATTCCATGAACTGCTTTTGGTAAGAGAAATTATTTTAATCAGAAGCGTTTACATACATGCTCCTAAAGCAGTAGCGTTTTGAACCAGAGTCATGTTGACCAGTAGGCGATTCTGTTCTCCTTTCGAGTTAACCAGCCATGGCCAGAATATAAACAGAACCAATTTCAACACCGAAATTGAATTCATATTCATTTTTACTCTTCTCTGAGACGGAAATGTAAAAGTAAAATTCACGGAGAAACTAACTTTGGGTATTTTTATCAGAGAGAGAATCTGAAAAATTGTTGTTTAAGATGAATGGAGGAATGAGATTCTCGTCGGAGTAAACAAATGAAACAAATCTGGAATAATAGCAACAAAATTAGGGAGAGGCGAGCAGTGAGGATTTGAAGATTCAATAAATAGAAAAGATGTGATTTATGAAGGGGGATTTCCCGAGGGAGGGAACAAAAATGGGAATGTCTTATTTATGGTTTCAAGAGTAATTTGGTGTGGAAATAGAATACACAAAGTTACAAAAGAAATTAAGATAATTTATTTGATCACTTACTTTTACGATAAGAAAAGGGATAATGCATAAATACCCCCTTATATTTGAAATTTTATAGACATATTTATACTATATTAAGGTCTTACTACTTTCTGAACTTATTTTATAATTAATTTTTCATCTCTTTTTGATCTACGTGGCACTAGCTTGGAAAAAAAAAGTCGAAAAAAATAGAAAATTATTTATAAAATAAGTTCAGTAGGGTAATAGAACCTTAGTATATTGTAAGTATGTCTCTGAAATTTTGGACATAGATTGAGGGATACTCGTGCATTTTTCCATAAAGAAAAAAAACCACCTAATTGTTTACTTCCTTCATTTAATAATAGTAATAGATTTTATTTTAAATTATTATTTTTCTAACACATGAATATTCTTTTCCTATTTTATGGTCAATATTATCCTCAAATCATTTACAATTAATTAATATAGGACATTATGATAAGATACTCACATTAATTACTAATTTTATGGAGGTGCAACGTTTAAAATAAACAAATAAAAATGAGCAAAAATAATATTCATTTGTTCTTAATTACTTATTTTCTTTTAAA